GTATCACTCCACCTGGAGACAGTGTTTACATGACAATCTGCATTTGTAACATTCATTAGTGCCCTCACTGACACACAAAACAAAACAACGAATACAAAACACACTAACCATACGCTCCATGCTTAACGTCACAAATCTCCCACATCTCAAAACTCGCTGTTGACATCGCTCTCTCGCTCTCTCCTTGCTCTCTTCTTAAACAATTGGTGTACACTTTGAAGTCCGAACTTTCAACACAAGCTCAAATGGAGACTCAGCGTGGCTGCAGCTTGTTGCTATATCAGCTAAAATCAGTCAGGTGTGTCCGTGGACCTCAGAGGGTTTATAAAACTCACCTTCATTCCATGTGACAAACAACCACCTGTGTGAAATCTGAAATGCCCATGGTGTTGATTCAAAATGTGATCTGGCACAATCACAGTCAGAAAACAAGAAATAAATCCGGTCGGCACTATGGGCTGAACCATTTGTTAATTGTGGAGAGGGGTTAACACTATGTAATATATTCAGTTTTATAATTTATATTCAGTGTTAATAATAGCTAGGCTCAAAGTGTTAATGCTATCTTATTTTGATAAACAACTCTGTCATATGTAACACTTGGTTGGAAATAGGGATGGCAAGAAATCATTTTGCCACCATTCTAGATCCGCCCCTGCCCAAGATCTGCGAGAAGATCCCCCAAGACACCAACTGTGTATCATTAGGAGCCCTGACACCATCAGGTATACACACATGCATGTGGGGGCCATACAAACTAACATTTTGAGTTACTGGACTACTGGTAATGGACTAGCCTGCTGCATCATTTTCCCCCTTTGATTTGGTTGATAATTTTCATTTCCGTCAAACAATGTGGCGTCATTTCATCCCTAACACATTACTCAGTCCATATCAGTACATTTATCCAGCATGATTTTCTTTCCCATTCAGATCTCAAGTGTTCATTCAATTGATTTGAGAAGTGTATTTTACAAAATCCTGATCTTTTTTCTTTGTCTATGAGAAGCGTGTCCTCATTTTGTTTATGACAAGCACAAAGATGTATGTGCCACCAAGCATGGACAAAGGCAATGGTCATTCCCATGTTTTTCCCTGTATAAGCTTTATATAGGAAAACTGACATGTCAGTCTTAAAGCAGCAAACTTAAAAAGGTTTTCTCAGTGTACTCGATTCTCATTCCAGCTAAAACTAATAGATAAAAAGTGTATTGGTGAAGCAATATGATGACTATACATGTTTCTATAAAGCTGAGGTAAGGCCATGTCTCTCACTGAGTCGCATCAGCTCTATAAGCTTTTTGAAAATTGACAGTGAAAGGTTTTTCTCAACAGATAAGTGCCTCATTTGTTGTATGTTTCATTTCATAATGCACCAAATATATTAGTTTTTCCTGCTTGGCACCCAGACTGCAGGGATCTAATTATACATGCAAAATGCGGTTTGGCATTGTCTTACTGAATTAAGCAAGGTCTTCCCCTGGAAAAAAGCATTTGTCCCTCCAAAACTTGTATATATCATTCGGCATTAATGGTGCAGTTACAGAGCAAGTTATTCATGCCATGTGCATTAATGCCTCCACTTCATCATAGATGCTGCTTTTTAGACTGTGGGCTGCCTTTTAAACTTATGGACTGATAGCAAGCTGGATGGTCGTCTCTTGTGATTTCGTAAAAGATATTTTCACATTTTATTCATCATATCACCAAACAGTTATCTCCCCTTTTTTTAAATTTATGTTTTATTAATCACAGTGGGGGGAAACAAAACAAAACCAAACTAACAAACCAGAACATACAATGAGATTATACAAAATCGGGCCTCCCATTTTGTACATATTTCAACCATTCCATTTCAACCAGTAATCCTCAAATGAGTCCGCCTGCAACTTTAGCCTAAAAGTTATTCTTTCCATAACAAAATAGTATATATCACATCAATCCACTCATTTATAGTAGGAGTATCCTCCTTAAGCCAACGGCGGGTTATGGCCTTTTTGGAAGCTACCAACAGCACACTGAACAAATATTTATCCGGTTTGCATAGATTAGGACTCTCTAAGTTACCTGGGTACAATACTGCAAAATGAAATTGTATTTTCTTTTGAAAGATTGTTTCCAGGACCTTATGTATTTCCTTCAAAAATGGAACCACACGAGGACATTCCCAAAAAATGTGGAAATGATTTGCTGCTGCATGTCCACACTGCCTCCAGCATGTTGTGTTATGAGAATAATTGGACTTTTGAGCCGGGGTATTAAAATAACGAATTACATTCTTCCAACTGAATTCCCTCCACGAGGCGGAGCTTGTTACCGACCACTGCTGCCTACAGATCCCATCCCATTCCTCTCCTGTTAGGGATAGATTACCCTCTGTTTCCCATCTTGCTTTAACATATCTCGTATCATGACCCCTTAGATTGGTCAGTGAACAATATAATTTGGAAATAAGTTTTTGATAGGGTCCATCTCTATATGCATTCTCGAATATATAAATAATTTCTTCATTCCCAGTTGATAACTGGGGATGTTTTACCCCAAAAAAAACCCCAGTTATCTCCCTTGCGTAGCTGTGGCTTTCAGAAATGTCTCTGTGCCCTTGAAATGGTTTCCTCTAGAGAATTACATGTATTAATAGGCCAGACACAACAGCCATTCAGTGGAATTTAGATAATTTTTAATCTCTAAATTCTTTTCACTTTTTTTGTTGAAAAATGCTTTATTTAATTATAGCATTATGCATCTTTCCTGGTCTTTAGCTTCCTATTTTTCAACTTGTCAGCTGAAACATGTTGCAGCTGACAAGTTTTTTTAAACACAGCATCCATGCTTTTAGGGTCAAATAGGCCTAGTAGGGAGGATTAGCCTAGTAAAGCTAGAGATGGATGATGAAGAAAAGCTGAAGAGAGATGGGGAAAAAGATATACCAAAGTGAGCTTTACGAATGAGTGCGGTTTTTTCCCCCCTTGGGGCCATTGGTGACCCTGAAGGAATAAATGATTCAATAAAAAGTCAAATAATAGTAATAATTTTTTTAAAAAGAAGCTCAAAACAAGATCGGGACACATGTGCGTCCAGTAAGTCTTCATCTGACTGCTTCCCCCTCTTAATTATCGCCAGAAAGCCAGTTCACAGACCCACAACACAGAACATGTGCGTTTGTGTGTAACCACACCTCTGTGCAGCTGCTCTCTGATGCACTGAAAACAAAATGTGCAATCAAGTCGCCGGGTGAGGAGGGATATAAAAAAGATTTATTAACACCTTTAAGTACCATCACCTTTAAAAAGATAGCACTCTCTCCCTCTCTGTTTCTTTGTTTGTTTTGAAGGTCATTATCACAACAAAGATTGTACATTTCACGTGACAGCTCATTTCCATATAAAAGTAAAAATCGCTTGTATTGCCTACACCTCATTAAACTAAAAATATTCTTTGTATTTCTGTTGCAGTCTCACAGTTAATCATGTCTTTAGTGCAGCTCAGTAGTAATGATCTGACATAGTTTTTAGGGCAGGCTTGTAGGGAAGCTTGTCTCCCACACTGCACAGCATTCCTACATATTTCCATAACTGAACAACTTTTAATGACACGTTTTAACTTAATCCCAAACACAATCTAGTTGTGCACATATGGCACAAAACCGAGGTTAAATACTCTACATTAGCAGTCTGCGGCCAAGTCATACATTCACTAAATCGCCAAAGAAGCTCTAGTATTTAGTATTTAAAGGCGTCACCGGTAGGTGTCGTAGCAACATTTCTAATAGTTTAGTGTGACACTGTGGTCTACTTCAGCACGTTTCAGCACTTGAGCAGCTGTGAGTAATATCCACAGCCAGACAGCTGCGGAGCTAAAGACGTTTACATTAAACATTGTTCTTGTTCTCAGTATTCCAGCTTTTACTGACACGCAGTCAGGAGTTGGTGATGAGATGAAACTGATTTTGTCTCAGCCTCAATGTCAGTCACTCACTAGACTTGAACACAGGGGTTAAGCCTGTGAAGAAAGGTCCGCCTGACCAGCGATGCTCCGAGAAGCTCCGGTCACTATGCTGACATCTCCAGCTGCGCTCTCAAGGTCTGAGCTGACTGACTTTTTTTTTCAGCTTTCTGGATCGTGTGTGATTGACAGGGCGTAAGGACGTCCTTTGATAATAGTAGACAAAGCAAAGCCTTAGAGGGAGGCCTTCCTTGACAGAGTTTCAGAGAAAAACGTGCTCCCTCTCTTCTTTCGTTCTTCGAAACAACAAACCCCGCACAGGCGCATTCCTGTACGCGCGTAAAACCTTCTCACTTCACCCACGGAAAAACGGGCTATCGTAGAAGACTGGAACCCACTAGACACTTGGAAGACTGGAAATTAGTTCTAGTCATATATATGATTCATCTTATTATTAATATTATTTAAATATGTCTTTAAAAATCTAGCGCCGTGGAAAAAAATGCAAATTTTCCGTGACTTCAGTTCCATCTTACCCAAGAGCGCACAAAACAAAAATATTCTACTCCACAAATTACATTTTCTTTTCCTGCCAGTGTAAAAGATTCGTAAAGCCCACTCTAACATGACAGTAGTGTAGGCACATATCATGGTAGTCTTGTCGGTTCTGAATTAGCTGGAATAGATGAGAAGTGAATTTTTGCCTAATCTTCCCGGTGTTTGTTTACCTCTGTGGTTAGCGTGTTTTACAAGAAGTTGGCAAATGATGTACACATTTTGTACAAGCGGGATCTGGAGATGGGATCGGCTGACGGCGGGGGGAGGAAAACTCCACCCAGCAGATAGGATCTTGGGCAGGCAGAGCGGAGGGGGAGTTTGCGCTGAAAGAGCTCGGGCTGGTCGGACGGGACGCTCGATATAAGTCCTGCAGAAAACTTCAGAGGGGGCAAAGTCCAGCCCGGGCGAGAGGGAGATAGGGTGGAACTTGCGAGCGCACTGGGAACTAAATCACATGTGATTTTTTACAGAAATGCTCCAAAGATGGCGGTGGTAGTAGCGACTGGAGTTCCGATTGGCTCTGGAGTGCAAAAAAGTGGATTTGTGGAGGTTTTGGTGCGAGAGCAGTGGCACAAAGTTTTGGTCAACTTGAACGAGGAAGCGCTCACGTTAAGCTGTGAGAGCAACGTTAACGAGAGTGTCGATGACAATGTCAACTCTAACGGCGTTACCAACGGATCTTACCATGACAACAGTAATACCAACTCCAACAATGGCCCCCAAACTGTGCGCACCGCGTTCACGGACCTCCCGGAGCGGGTACCCGAAGCGATCGC